CTGCGAGGCGGGTCCAGCTGAGGCCGAGGCCGGACGTCCTAGGGTGCTCCTCAGGTGCAGGCGTCCCCGGAGGTCAGAGCCTGTCAGTAAGTCTGTCCATAGCAGCCCGAGCCGCAGGCTGGCTGGAAAGAGGGGCCCTGGTAGGTCCTGGACGAGGAGAAGTAGGTGGGACGGCAGTAGCCGGCCCCACAGCCCGGGGACTGGGCTTGGGAGCCTCCGTAACCGAAAGGCCCAAGGCCGGTGCTGCCGCAGCCCAGGGAGCCCGGGCAGGTGGCCTGGTAGGACCTGCGGAGCGAGGAGGACCTGCGGCCGTAGGAGGGCGCCTGGTAGCCGGCGGGCTCCCAGCAGGTCTCCTGGCAGCCGTAGGGCGGGGAGTCCTCCTGGCAGGTGCCCTGGGTGTAGGCCACGTTGCCGGAGTAGATGTTGCCAGAGCAGGCGTTGCTGGGGTAGAAGTTGCCGGAGCAGGTATTGCCGGGGTAGACATTGCCGGAGCAGGTGTTGCCAGGGTAGGTGTTGCCAGGGTAGAAAGAGCCGCAGGAGGAGGCCGGGTACCGCAGGCGGCCGCCCAGGGAGCGGGAGGAGAGGGTCCGGGAGCTGAGGCTGTAGGACATGCTGTCGGGTTCTGTTCTGGTTCTGGTTCTGGGCTGAGCGGAGGTGGAGGGAGGACCTGTGACTGTGGCGATGGCTCCTGCGCCGGCACTTTTATACCCGGGCTGGGGTCCGGCAGGGCCTCTCCTCAGAAGATGCTCAATTAGGCTCCAGCCGAGAGCCGTGCGCTCACCTTCAAAGGCCTCTTTATGGAGGCGGCGGGTAATGAGGGGGCGCGCGAGGCTTTCAAAGCAGCTGTTCACGAGGCACACATGTCTCCCCATTCATCTCGCTTGGGCGGGTGGAGGTAATTGCGCCGTAATTGTACCCGCAGCCCTGGCGTTTGTTCCTCCCTCTGTGAATAGGCGGCGCATGGGCACCGTGGTGATCATCGTGTGCTCAGGCTCTAAAAATGCTTGGGAGTCTGGAGGGGCATTTAATTTGTTCTGGTTTAGGAACCCCAACCGAGAACAGGAAAAATTCACCCCCAATGTCTGTTTCAACTCCCCAGTCGGTGCCCCTGGTAGAAAAATGACCCGGGCACAGCCCTGGTGGGGAGAGATGCTACGTGAGTGTCTGACACGTTCGGTTTTGAGTTTTCTTACAGCCCAAGTGCCCCAGCCACTCCTGTGTATGTGGATTTATTTTTAATATTTTAATTATTATTATTATTGGCAGTTACAGTTCACATTCCATATATTCTGTATTCGTCTCAGATGTAGAGCAGAGTGAATATCCAGTCGTAGACTATGCAGAGTGACCCCCTGACATTTCCCGCACCCCCTGGCACCACACATCGTTCTTCATTATTTACTAGAGGCTCGGTGCACGAAATTCATGTGCGGATAGGGTCCCTAGGCCTGGCTGGCAATCAGGGCCAATCTGTGGGGTGACTGGCGGGGCGATCAGGGGGCCCCCACTGGCACCCACCTTGGCCGGCCTGGGGCCTGTGGGCTGGGGGCAGTTCCTGTGTAGAGCGTCTGCCCCTGGTGGTCAGTGCGCGTCATAGCGAGCGGTCATTCCACCGGTCGTTCCGCCGTTGGGTCGATTTGCATATTAGGCTTTTATTATATAGGATGAGAGTCCCTGTGCTGTACTGTACACCCCATGGCTGTTTTGCAGCCACCAATCTGCACTTCGCAGTCCCTTCACCCAACCCCCCCGTCCCCCTCCCGTCTGGCCACCATCCGGCTGTTCTCTGTGTCTGTGAGTCTGTTTCGGTTCTGCTTGTTCATTTATTTTGCTCTTTAGATTCCGAGTACAAGTGGAATCACATGGTCCTTGTCTTCTCTGACCGGCTTATTTCACCCGGCATAGTGTCCTCGAGAGCCATCTGTCACAAATGGTGAGGTTTCGTTTTTCATGGCCGAGTAATATTCCACATATGTACACATGCACCCCAGCCTTGTGATTGATTATTTATTGATGGGCACATGGGTGGCTCCCATGCCTTGGCTGTTGTAAGTGATGCTGCAGTGAACGTAGGGGTGCGTATATCTTTTGGGATTAGGGTTTCAGATTTCTTCAGCCGTAGACCCAGAACCCAGAACCGGGATTGCTCAGTCATAAGCTAGTTCTAGTTGTCATTTTTGATTTGAGACTAAAGGATCTGACATTTGCAGGAGAGCTTTTGAAAATTACATTGTAAAAATACTCAAGTGAAGGAATAATTGCTCTGAAGTCAACTTGCCTCCTGATAGACGTCATCAATGGATTGAATGATTAAAAATCCTCCAACCCCACACAGTTTAAGCCATTTTTGGTCACGTTGGTGCCGCTGAGAACAAAGTAACAAGCAATCCACCTGAAAGACAGGTCTCCGCCCTTGGTTTCACAGGGCGGGCGTTTCCTAACAGAAGGTGAGGAAAAACGAGAAACCAGAGTATCTGCCCTGTGGAGATGTCACAGAAAGGCCAAGTACCGAAGAACTTACAGTCACAAGTGACCTTCACAAACGGGGGTGGGGAGGGCGTCAGAGCGAGTGATAGGGACACAGAACGAATGTCTTTGGGGTCCACGGTGGTGCCTGAATCGGTCCTGTGCACTCTGCCTAGAGGACAGGACCCCCATATCCTCCCAGATGCCCCCTAAGTTCCTCAGGCAGCTGTCAATGGGGCCGCCCAGGGCAGGAAATGGCTTAATTATCCCGGGGGGAGGGGCCTCCCCGTAAGACACCCACCTCCCTGGCTGATACACTGCTCAGTGGGATGAGCTGGGGCTGCTCTAGAGGAGCTGAGACCCTGGGTGGGGGTTTTAAGGGAAACCTTAGCTAAACATGTAACAGGAGCCACTACGGCTCCGGCCACTGGCTTAGAGGTCAGAGCAGGGGCCTGCCCACCAGGGGTCGCTGGTGTGATTCCCAGTCAAGGGCATGACCTGGGTTACAGGACCCTCAAGATCAATGTTTCTCTCTCTCTCTCTCTCTCTCTCTCTCTCTCTCTCTCTCCTCTTCCTCTCCTTCCCTCCCTCCCTCCTTCCCTTCCACTCTAAGAAAATAGGTGGAAAATAATATCCTCAGGTAAGGATTAACAACAACAACAACAAAGGAGCAGCTACGTTTGTGGGTGATGAGATTTCACCCCGAGGGCCCGGGAGTCCTAGTCAGGATCCTGTGATGGGTTCCAAGGCTCCAACCCGAGCTCATTGCTAAAGTGAGTTCAGATCACAGATGTTAGACTCTTCTGATGGGCAAGTTGGCCTTCAACCAAGTTTCATTGACCAGTTAACATGGTCCATCCTCAGTTTATACAATAAACATTCCTCACTTGTTAGGCTCCTTAATTATGAACAGCAAGAAGCATTCCACTAGCTTCTAAGCCTTCCTGTTTCGTTTATCAAAAAAATTGAACATTAAAACATCCATATGAATATTGAATCCACCTAAACTGAAGTTGCTTACTTGCTTCAGTGTCATCCTCTCTTATGTAACCTACTAGAGGCCCGGTGCACGAAATTTGTGCACTGATGGGGGGAATCCCTCGGCCTAGCCTGCACCCTCTCTCAGTCCAGGAGCCCTCGGGGGATGTCCGACTGATGGCTTAGGCCTGCTCCCTGCCTGAGCCATCAGTGGGCCATCCTAGCGCTGCCACAGAGGTGAGAGAGGCTCCCACCATCATCGCTGTGCTCGGCAGCCGTGAGCCCGGCTTCTGGCTGAGTAGTGCTCCCCCTGTGGGAGCGCACTGACCACCAGGGGCAGCTCCTGCATTGAGCGTCTGCCCCCTGGTGGTCAGTGTGCGTCATAGCGATCAGTCATTCTGCTGTTCAGTCGATATGCATATTAGCCTTTTATTATATAGGACGAGAGGCCTGGTGCACGAAATTCATGCAGGGGAGGGGGGTCCCTCAGCCCGGCCTGCACCCTCTCCAATCCAGGACTGCTGGCTCCTAACCACTTGCCTGCCTACCAGCTTGATCGCCACCTAACCACTCCCCTGCCAGCCTGATGGCCCCCAACTGCTCTCCCCAGCCGGCCTCCTGGTCCCCAACTGCCCTCTCCTGCTGGCCTGATTGCCCCTAACCGCCTCTGCCTCGGCCCCCACCACCATGGCTTTGTCCGGAAGGAAGTTGGACAGTAGGAAGATGTCCGGTCTCCCAGTCTAATTAGCATATTACCCTTTTATTAGTATAGATTTCTGTGGGAGAATATTGTGTGATCCAATATTAAGGAACATTGAACATTTTTTCCTCAACAAAATGGAGGTTTTGCACCCAAACACTGTTGTTGGGAAGTTCATGGGGAATGATTTTCTATAAAATAGATACATCGGATGGCCCAGCGGCCCGGCCAGTGAAGGTGCCGATCTCTCCGATCTCTTCCCCGGGCACCCATCTTCATCTCCCCGCTGCACGGAGCTGGGCACAGACGCGCAACTGGAAACACACACCACGACCCTGAAAACCGTGCAATTCTTGCCAGAACCACCGAGCAGCTTCATGCGAAGGGCAGTCTGCTGCCTCTGAAGCCAAGGAATCCCGAGAGGCCCCTTCGCTCCATGACGAAGGCCACACCCCCATCGACCTTCTTCAGAGCAAGACAGCGTCCCGAGCGGGAGCCCGGTCAGTGCGAGCACTGCCTCTCGCCAGAGGAAAACACAGCCGGCATTTTGCCACTTGGTTTGTGCTTCTTTCTGTTTGTTTTCCAGGTTATTTTGCTGTTGCTTCTGCTAATCCTCCCCTGAGGATCTTGTTTGCATTGATTTTTTAGAAAGAGTGGAAGGGAGGGAGGGAGGGAGAGGATGAGAGAGAGACATCAATGTGACAGGGACACATCAGCTGGTTGCCTCCACCCAGACTGGGGCCGAGGATGGAACTGGAAACCCAGGGACGTGCCCTTGACTAGAAATCGAACCCATGACCCTTCAGTCCACAGTCTGACCCTCTAACGACTGAGCAAGATTGGCCAGGGCTGTAGGGCTGTGCTGCTTCTTCTTTATTTAAAAATGTATTTTTTATTGATTTCAGAGAGGAAGGGGCAGGGAGAGAGAATCATTGACCGGCTGCCTCCTGAACCAAACCCAGGACCCTTCAGTCTGCAGACAGACGCTCTAACCACTGAGCAACCGGCTGGGCTGCGCTTGTTGTCAACGCTCCTTCAGCATCTCCGATGAATGACCTCTGACCTTCCAGAGCAGCAGAAAGCAGGTCATACACTGAACTCGCACCCAGTGAACACGGCCGCGAGGAGCCGAGAGCGAGGATGCTCACGGTCTGCGTAGCTCACGGGAGAGCGGGTTCATACACCGGAGGAGCCATTCGCAGTGAGATCTGCG